CTGAGGATCTAGTACTGTCTCCGAGTTTGTTTGTATGCTAAAATGATTAATAGCGTTTCTTCCCCTCTCCCTCCAATCTTCTCATTAACATATATTCTCCTTTGAGGTCCATTTTCAGTTTCCACTCCTGCATTTAGCAAAATAATTTCTATCACTTTTTTGATCTTATTGGTAACCTGTCAAGCCTTGGAAGAACCATTAGCATTGGGAGAAGACACAACTGACAATGCATTCAAACTCTGGTTTCCACTTTTATGTGGTCTTATACAGTCCTCTCCCCTTGCAATAAACCACTACAAAGCAAGTACATCTAAACACCTTGCCTTGCTGGGTGTGGGGGCACCCACCTCTAATCCCAGCACTCGGGAAGCTGAGGCAAGAGGATTATTGTGAGTTCGAGGCCAGCCTGTTCTACAAAGTGAGCTCAAGGCTGGCCTGGACTGCATAGCAAGACTCTGTCTCAAAAAGACAAAATTTTTTAAAAATATCAAATACCTTGCTTTCAGACACCAACTGTGAACAAATAATACTGTTGAACTTAACTGAGCTCAATAGCCTCTTATTTCCTATTTCTGATTTCAGCACTGAAGAAACTTTGCATACGAGAAACCCAAATTATACAGAGCAAAATAAAGGCTGACAGGAAGCAGGGAAACCAATCTTTCTCAGGTGGAAAAGGGATCAAGAGATGGAGGGAGAGGGAGGGAAGGAAAGGAAATGGGAGGGTAAAGTAAGATGCACTGTGTACATGGACCAACTCCACAGCACAAATGTAAACACGGTGTACCGCAACACAGATCAATGAAAAGATAAAGTACTTGAAAAAGGATATTGTTCTTAACATAAAGCAAGCTAATAAACAGCATTATATCACCTCAAATGAGAGCCAGCCTCTATTTCATGGCAAGAATATGGGTATTTTATTTTCTGTTATACTGTACCCCTGACTTTCCCTAGAAAAGAAAACATGAGATCTGACTTGGTTACTTTTCTCTTGCTGCTGAGATAAAATACCCAACACCCAAAATTAAGGAAGGAAAGGTTTATTTAGCTCACAGTTTGTGCAGGTTTCAGTAGGTAATCAGCTGGTTCCAAGGCAGGGTGGAATGGTGCAGGGGCAACAGTTCAGGGTGAAAGAAGACAGCAAAAGCAACAAAAGCAGAAGCGGGGGTGGGGGTGGGGGTTCTTTTCTTCCCTTGTACTGCAAGTAACCACCAGCCCTAGGGTGGGTGTAGCACTCACTTCACCTCTGTGCCTCTTGTACAAACTCAGGATGTTTACAAAGTGAAGACTTTGACACCCTGCTGAGACGCTTAAACTTCTAAACTTCTCAAACTGACACAATGAACAACATTTTAGAGTGGTAAAGGCATGTCCTTTACACCCTGGGATGTAGAAGTGCCAGTTACTTAGGCTTCTAGAGTTCTCAAGTTGACACTATGTGTCAACCATTACAAGATCCAAAAAAAGAAAAGAGAGAAAGAGGGAATTAACTTTGAAATCAAAATAAATCTCAGCAGTGTCTTGCTAGGAATTCCTCATCCAAATGAAACTGCATGCAGGAATCTTTTTTCTTTTTTAACAGTCAGGATTAAAACATAATGGTTATTATAACTCAGTGAGATCATGCAGACAAAATACTGGCATGGTGCCTGAAACACAGCACTGTAGCACTTCACGGAACTTTCAGATTCATGTTAAGTTCCTCCTAGAATGATATTGCTAATAACAATAATTGCTACTTCAGTTTCTCTTTCAAGATTTCTTGGTTGCCCCTGTCCTCTTATTCATCATAGTCTGGAAACAGAATAAAAAGTATCCTCTATATCTGTCCCCAGCTGTTAACAAGTGATATGTGCCATGTATGAATACATATGTACACACATGCATACATATGTACCTATATAAGATACATACATATTATGTATATATATATATATACTTGATAATTAGTGAGCTTTACCATCAAATGATGAATTACATTCCACTACTCATTTAATCTACAAATTCTCTTAGCACCTCTGTAGAATTTTCCATCCAACCAATTCAATAGGATAGCAGCAAGCATGTAAGAAATATTCAGTCTCAGTATGCTTATGTAATTACTGTTTTGACTGCATAAGTAATCTGAGAACTAACAACTAAAGTTGAGCCAGAGAAAGAAGTTGGTTTCTTGGCGATGGTACCACAATAGAGCTTTCTGAAATGGGGGGTTCCCAAATAGTTAACTGAAGTTTCAACACAATAGAGAGTCTGTCCTGCTGATTGCTCCAAGACTTCTGGCATTCTACTTTGACAGACAGATACAGATATATGAAGATGTGGTTAAAAATGTATACATTTAAAAAAATATTACAGTAAAAGACATAATACCATTAATCCCCCTCAGAATATTCACCTTCCCATGGAACACTTTTATCTACTGTGCTTAATGTTTCCTGAAGCCCTTCTGGAAGGCTTCTTTCATGAGTGTCTTTAGTTGCTCTGTGGGGATGTAGTGAATGGACTCAAGATGTTCATCTTTCATGGTCATTTTGACTTTCGGGCACAGCCAAAAGTGCCGTGGGGGGAAGATCCATGAGCAAGGTGGATGAGGACACACTATAATGTTTCTAACCAGCCTTGCTTTCCACTGGATAGCACTCAGTAGCAGCAGTCACTGTATACTTGGTATACATACCTCATAAAAGCACTCATGAAAGAGACCTCCCAATACTGCTTCTGAAAGTGTCATGCATAATAGGATATGTATATTTGAAACAAGGGGAAGTATTTTAAAGGGAATTAATGGTCACGTGTCATTTAAGGTAATAATGTCTTAAAATTTAAACATTCACTGTATATTTTGATCACTCCACGTACAGCTCAGTTCAAATTTGCACAGTATTTGCCAAACAGCAGAAACTGATTCAAATAATACAAATGCTTTCATACGCAGACCATAGAAGAAATTTTCCAAGGAACCAAACGCATACAGATATGAATGTGAATATTATTTGATTATAAAGATAACCTTAAGTATGTAATTAATTATGTCTATTACCTAAATACCATATGAGCATTACTTTAAAGCCAACATTTTAGCATTATAACATTGCCTCAAGGTGAAATTACTCTCACTGTCAAATTATAGAAAATGTTTCAATAGGAATAATATCATCTTTTAAAAATACCCTCATATCATCTTTTAAAAATACCCAAATACCAGGAATCTTAAACTTGTCTAACTCGGACAGGTTTAACCTAGTTGAACCAACTTTCTAACTCTATGGTCTTGGGAAAGTTACTTCATTACTTTATACATCAATTTCCTCATCTATAAAATCCAAACTCTATCACATGTTCATTTTCATGATTTTTGAAATGCACACAGAAAACAATGTTTGGTATATAAGAACTCAATAATGTTGGTAATTATTCACAGTATTTGAAGAGATTTCTATCTCTATATCATCATTAAATGCCCGTCAAGAGAACAGTTACATAATAAACGGAACTTAACAGAAAACTCTAGGAGAAATGGGAAGAAAAGGACAGTTTTCTAAGTTATAAAAATTTTAACTGTATGGGTTAAAAATGTATTAAAAGCAGAAACTCAGAACTCCTTTTACAGCCTTTCTAAAATCCCTCTCAGGCCGCAAACCTGAGTTGAAGAAATCCAAGGTGTAAAACTTTCAGCTTCCAAACTCTATTTCAGTAAACTGGAAAACATTGTTTCTCTCCCCTCTCCACAGTTGACAAGCACAATTTACTGATAAACATTGTAGCTTGTAATACAACTGCTGACATTTGCTACATTAGTTGCAGAGATTAAAACAAAATCTACTTAAAAAGCAGAACTATAGTTTCAAATCAGATTCTAGAGCTGCCACTCCAAATCATCAGGTGGCTGTGACCCAAAATCCTCCAGAATACTCAGCCTATTAGAAGCCATGAGTCTACAGTCAATTAACCCTTTTTTTTCACTGTTGCAAGACAGATAATACAGCAGCAGAAGCCCTTCTAACTGAAACTCTGCTAGGACAAAACACAGAAAAACAAACAAGGACATGACACTGAGACAGTGATAAGCAACCTTAAGAACTTTCTAATGTTTCTTCAAGTAAAACTTCAGCTTCTCCTTCACTAAAAAAAATCTAAGATAGTTATTGCTTTGTCCTCAGTTCTTTTTATACATCTTGATGTTCTTTCCCTTGTACTCTCTCCCTCTGTATACTACGTCCACTATTTTGCTTTTTAAGGCAATGACAGGGGCTTAATCTTTAACGTGCTCTGTTCCTTGATGATTTCATCAGACCCAAGAGATCTGTCTACTTGGCAGCCTCTCGACAACAAGACGCAGTAGCCCAACCCGCGGCTTTCTAATGTCTAACACTAACACAAGCATTCAGCCAAGTCAGTAACACTGAAAATCTAAGAATGCCCACCACTTGCACGCAGAGCCACATCAGTACCATCGTATTAGAAAGCAGGTTTTACAAAAATCTATTGGACAATAGCTGGTTACAACCACTTTGCTTCCAGGTCCACCTTCTGACTCATCCTGTTTAAGAGGCTATTATTAGCCTCCTTCAAGAATTACTTGCCTTTACCAATCCTTTGAAGTTACTGTAGTTTTAAATGCATGGAATTACATCACTTAAATCCAAGTGAATTGTATACTTTTGCAATATGCGGTCGCAATAAGACTTAAAGCAATTAACTGGATTTTCTAAAGCCCCGTTCAATTAGAGCTATTTCAGTACAATGCGCCCGCATTTCTTCCAAGCTGTTCTGGTGCTCTGATAACTGCTTGTCTAAGAGAAAGCTGCTTGTGCTTGTGCGGAGTTATGGCTAAGGCAGACCCAGGCCTGCTTGCCAAGCACTGAGCATTCCTACACATTTCTCTCCCTAGAAGACCTGTCCGGATCAAAGAACGGCGTAATTTGATTTTGCAAAAAGCAGCAACTACAGCGAGTTTGAGAGAGCTCAGAGGGGAAGCGAGCGGGGAGCTGCGGTACCTTTCTTGACTTCTCTGAGCTTGACTCAGTTCAAAACTCCGCTCTCAGGGCTGCCAGACCAAGTCTTCTTGGAAACCCGCGCGCGGCGAGGGCAGCGGGGCGCACGTCGCGTCGCTCACCCTCTGCCACCCTTTGCGGGTCCGAGGCGGGCGGGGCGCAAAGCGCTGTCACCGCGGTGCGCCGCGGGGAGCGCCGAGAGCGCAGCGCACGCGAGACGCGCGCCGGGGCGCACAGGGACCCGCAGTCTGCGCCCGGGCAGAAGCGCGAGGATGAGGCGGAGAGGCCACCAGCGAAATAAAGGGTCGGAAGGGGAAGAAAAAAAAAAAAACCTCTGCACGCAGGCAATCAAAAATTGAAGTGCTGGTCAAAGAGGGCGGGACGGCCTGTCTGGGCGTCAGCTTGTGAAGAGAAATGGGTGCGAAGCAGCGGAGTCGGGAGGGGCCCTGCGCGGACGCATTCGGGGAAAACTCCAACTCCAGAACTACCTGCACCGCCCCTCTCCGAGCGGAGAAGTTGAGCCCCGTACCTCCATGGAGTTCTGTAGCCCGCGCAACCCGACCCGGGGCCAGGGCTTCGACAGCGGCGAGCGGCTCAGCTGGGATCCCCGCCCCTCGCCGCCTTCCACCCTGGGAGTCCCACCCCCCAGTGAAAAGAAAGTGAAACAGAAAGAGCCGGGGCGAGGCGAAGATAAACACCTCCAGCGAGGCCGGGGGAGGGGGAGGACAGCGCGCTCCCGGGCGGCTGCCCCAGGTGTCCTCAGGAGCCCCGCGGGTTTCTGCCACTTCCTGACCTTGGCACGCAGAACCTGAAGGGCGAGAGAGCAAGTCATGAGCGCCAGGCCTGCCTCTCTGGGCCGCCAGCCACCGGCCTCGCTGCCGCTTCCCCAGACACCTGCGAAGAATTCGCACGGAAAAGGAGAGGGGTGGCCTGCGGACAGAGACCGTAATCACGGGTGGCACCGCCTGGGAGCCTTCCCCAGCAAAGCCTGGCGCCTCGGGAGCGGGCTGTACCCGGAGGAAAGGGGAAAAGACTGGACTCAGGATGGGCCGCTGCTCCAGACCTGCACTTTGGCCCAGCTTGAAGGCTGGAAGAAGGAAGTCTGTGAATTCCTTTAACACATCTAGGTGACTGATCTGTCCAAGGCAGTTGGGAAGGACAGTGGACTTGCAAGAGATGTACCTCGCTGGGGTCACTTTTCCAGGCTAATGCACAGGCAACTGTGATACATACACGTAGCCCCAGTTAGATGGGACCCGGAAATGTGGTATGTTCCAGCTGGAAGATAGGACTGAGTTTTTGAGACTGATCTGCATGCTAGGCACAGTCAGCGGCCAAGGCTTTTCCTGGCCGATTTTGAAAGCACCTGGGAGAGTCTGGCAGGGATGTGACTCACTCAAAATCCCTAGCGAACTAGTGGACAATGCATTCCAAAACATTTGAGTTAAGGCACAAGGCAATCACAATTCTTGGAGCTTAAAAATGTTGCTGTTTGATGTGTATTATTACATAAATAAGATAAAAATAAAGCAAAAATTTGTAGACGTTGTTAAATATAATTTGTTGTCAAATTTCACATGAAATCATTTCTTTTTCTGAAATTTGCAATGTGTTTTCCATAAATGTAACCTTTCCCTTATCGTTTTATATTTGAAATTAAAACAGGTAGACTTTTTATGATAAGCACTTCAAACTTTAGTCACATCAACAAAATCCGGGGAAAACCATTCAGAATTTTTCTATAGCTGAAAGTCATATTTAAAGAAATGAAGAAGACAAGCTTTCCCATCCGTATCAAAGTTGAATTTTCGGGTCATGATGCCGAGGGATCGCCAGCCACTCAGATCTTTGCCCGGCAATTACGTTGAAGCTCGGATGTGCAGAATGAGCGTGCTGAGAGGAGGTCTGCAGTCGGGTTGGATACCATCGCAGAGATACAACCCTTTGGAAGAACTTAGGAAGAAAGAGATCAGGGAAAGTAGACCTGGGGCGTCAGCCCCAGCATGGACCACTGTAGAGCTTCTTGGATTCTGCAAGGACAATTCTTCTCTCTCCTTTGACCTCTTTATGAATGGGTGCTATGTGTACTACAGCTGATATAAGAAGTCATTGTCCAGACAGTAAGGCACTTCATGGGCCACGCTCAGCACCACTTAGCAGGATCTCATACTGCCACGGCCGAAGGACTCACCACCTCCCTTGTGCAGCTCCTCCTGCTCCGTGCAGAAGCGCTCCAGAAAGCTACTCCCAGCCAAAGCTCACTAGCTGATGGGCTCCAGCCCTGTTGGCTTCAGCAAGACTGAGGGGCATCAGTGTCTGACAGCACAGTTTTAAGCCGTTGGAGCCACTTCAGTGAATTAAACCTCCTGAGTTGCCAGGGATGTTTCCCAACACTGCGAGACTGATAGCAACAATCTTTGCAGGCTGAGCTTGGAAGAACAAGTGTAAGAATAATAAAATTGGCCTATAATTATTGATTCGACTTCTAATGCAGTATGTTATGGAACAATGCGCTCTATGATATATAAAGCATTTAGTCAGATTAGGGAGGTTAACATAAATCTCAATAAAACGACACGGAAAATTATTATAACCACTGGATATGCCTTGCTCTACGACTTGCCTCCCAAATATGTAGGTCGAATTTGTTTTCTTAATTACAGAACAAAAAAAAGAGGAATCTATGAATTAGTTATGAGTGCCTGGAATGCAGTGAAGTTAGGTTTGTAGCATCATCTGTTTTTGCCGCATTACACTCAAACAGAGAAGCCTAATGTATGCAGTTTTTGTTTTCAGTTCCCACAGGCTGTTTGGCAAGATACTGAAAATTATTCACACCAATGAGCAAGTAAATTCCACTGCATAAATTAAAAGCAAAGACCAAGATTGATGAAAAAATTTGAAACAGCCTTAAGATGACTAATAAAACTGCAATGTGAGAAGTAAAAAATTAACTAAACCTCACAGAAGTGGCCATAATAATCTCAAAGAATAAACAATAAAATCATTTTTTCATATTATAAACATTCCTGATACCTGATTTTTTTTCAAAGACAATGCCAGGTGAACAGCTGCCCTTAAAATCAATTACTAATATATGTTTTCTCTTGCTTTTGAGAAGGAGTTAAATGTTAGCTGATCTAATTTAGAGTTCAAAGTCCATGACTGTGGCCTTATTTACTGTCTTCTTAAGATTAAATCACAAGCCAAGACCAAGTTGATCCTTTGGTCTTTGGAAAATATAACCTACCTGAGATCTCTACGCTTTCCATTTGAGATAAGGTGTGCTTGAAGTGGGTGTAACCTTGCTTCTTTTCTCTTGGTGCTCCTGGCAATAGAGGAATCCACTTGCTCTGAGAGATTTCTCAGGATTTCAAAAGATTCTGCCGTTGTTACTTTTTCAGAGGTGCACCAACATTAGCTTTTATTTCTACAGTTCTTACACTGCCTCCCTGGTGCAATTCTAAGCACTGATTTTTTATTTTTCATCTTTATTTTGATTGTACACATTTGTAGGGTGACATTGAGCTATTTGAGATATGTAAGGAATGGAAGCACAAATATTAATTCATTCTGTATTCACAGCAGTGCTATGAGTGATAAGCCACTGTTATATCCATTTTATGAATGGAGAAACCACGGCCCAGGGAGATATTTCTTTTTATATCTTTTCTGTGATGCTGGGGGAAGAGAGATGTTTTACCTGCCTCAGATCACAGGGCAACTGACTCAGTTAACAAGGACTTGAACTCAAATAGTCTGGCTTGAGAACACACGTCTGTATAGTCCGCTGCCTCTAAATTACCATCCATATTCTGCTGCTTCTATAACAAAGGGGTTATTCAGAAAGAAGCTATTGTATGCTACAAGGTGATTTTAGCCACCGCCATAAAGGAAACTCATCAGTTGCTTGAATTTCTGTTTCCCGATCTCAGTGTGTTCGGTAATGAAGCTGCACTGGGTATTGAAGCCCATCTACTAACAGGCTGTTTGAATAAAGTAACTGAAAACTAGAAGAGCACTGTTGCAGGTTTTAAATCCAGCGGTGGACCTATTGTGGCTAGTTCCTGACTAAAGATGTGTGATTTTGTGTAAGCTCACTGTCTGAATACACCCATGGCTAAGAAGGAGAAGACAACTGGTTTCAAGCTGCAGATGACTTAAAACAATAATAACATACTTAATTTAAAAATACACACACTCTTAAATGCATTGGTACCTAGTAAGAAGGAGGAGGGGTTTTAAAAGGAATGAGATAAATATAAGGGCTAACAATACTTTTCTAGATAGACTTTTAAAGTTGACTTTATCCATCAAAATTAGTTTGAAAAATTTAATTACCTACTTAGTTTTATATAATATGAGAATATATTGTAGACATGAACAATATGAACTGATTTTGTTGGCACTTATTTCAATGACAAATTGTAAAAACAATTGTATTTTTCTATTGTATATGCTTGTGACATGCACATAGATCTTTAATTAGTTCTGTGATGAAATTTGTCCATTTTTACAATACATAACTTTAACAGAAGGATGTAAGCGAAAGTATCAAAGTCATATCTGTCTCAACATTAGAAGTTGAACTGACACTGATTTTGACCATGTGGTATGCAGCTAGCAGGCTTTCAATAAATATGGAATTATTTCAGTTCTAAATTCTTTCTAGAATCAAAATATGAAAAATCATATATATGTGTATACATAAGCATATATACATTTATGTATATATTACATAATTGTATATGTTAATATATGTAGATATATGTATGTAATATATATATGTATTGTATATATGTACACATACATGTATGTAATATATAGATATAAAATAATCCTTTGCAAATACCAGGGGTAATTTGACAGTTTATATGGCTTCATTTTGTTGTTTATATATGTATTTAACCCTGCAATCACATTTATTGTCTTTTTAATCTTTCTTCAAAATATTTTTTTCATGGGGACCAGGGATACAGCAAAGCAGTACAGCTCCTATCTGGCAAGCGCAAGATTCTGAGTTTAATTCCTGGTATCAAGAAAAAAAGAAAAAATACAGAAAGATTGCTGTGAAATTCAAGGCCAATCTGGTCTCAAAATATTTTATCAAAATCAGATTTCTGAAGCACACTATCATATACCAGTGCTACCGATAGAAGATTCTAATTAATGATTAAAATATCATTGGTTTTGTTTTGTAGGAAATATCATGGCAATTGTTGTGTAGGAAATCACCCTGGTGAAACAGTAGTCTGTAGTTGCTCTCCTAGACATCTTAGAACATAAAGTCTTAGCAAACAAATTAGGATGCTCAAATAATGCGGTCTATCAGGTCAATTATAAACATACAGTGTGAAGCAAAGGAAAGAGATGGGGCACTAAGTTAACACAGATAGGGTGGGTTACAATTACGTGAAAAAATCGTGTTCCAAATCATATGTTATACAAGTTCTATAGGACCTCTCCACCTTCTCCCACATCCATCTTCTTTGCTGATACTGTGGTGTTGAGGACTAAAGTGGAGGACACAGAGACAAAGTGATTAAGACACACACATGTTCCATCAGAGAGATACAGAAGAAAACTATACCTTTCCAGATCTCCTCCTGAACAACTGTGGGTATTAGATACCTTTCATGAACATAGAATATGTGAAGTTAAAACTAGACTATATTGGATACCTACCTATGGTCAAAGGCCAATTTAAAATGATATGTAAAAATATCCCCTGATAAGGGCCTGACCATATCTATGATGCTAGTTCTTTCTCGTCTTAATATTCCTGTTTGTTCCAATATATTGCTGTAGTTTAGATCTTAAATGTTCACCCCAAATGCTCTTTTAGTCTCAAACTTGATACAACTGAGAGGTGAATCCTAGTGGGTGGTCTTCTCATCAGAGCTATGGCCTTGAAGGGAAAATCAGGACCCAAACCTTTTTTTCTGGTCTGTCACAACTTGACCATGAAGTAATGGAGTTGCTCTAAGGCCAGAGTCATCTAGCCACTCCCACTAGAGGACTACGTACACTGATCATTTAGTTCTACCTGATCATGAACTAAATGCTCAAAAACTGTGAGCCAAAATAAAACTTTTCTCTCTATAATTTGATTACAGTGGCAGAAAACTAATATACACATACTTTCTTTATTGTAGCTATATTTAATAATTCAGGATACTAACTTGCCATCCATTTAACACATCTTATGAAATCTTCTATGCTTCATAAGCTGCTCATTTATGCATTACCTATATTTGGCATACAGACTTTTGCCTGTGTCTTAAAGCTACTGATATACTTACTATCTATGAGTAACATTTCATAGTTTTATCCATATCAGTTTTCTTGTCCTGGCCAATTAAATATTCTCTGGCACAGCAAACTTATGTTATATTATTTCTTTGTGATCATTTATTTAAGGCTTATATGTTTAACACTGTTGTGTTTGTATTTTTTTCTGCATCAAAAAATGTTCTCAACCAAAGAATTCCTGACATGTAAAATCATGACTCCTCTCATTTTGAAATGATATCTTTCACATTTATGCCATTCCTTCAGATAAGAATGATTCTGGAATCTCAGCAATTGTATGGAATGAAGCCAAATCTGCTATATTCTTGTACTGGGAGATTGGTAAATTGATCAACATCAAACTATATGGTCATATGTAAATTTTACAAAATTTACATAAAACACATATTACTATTTTTTTGTTTGCTTGTTTGTTTTTGTTTTTGTTTTTCTCCAGTACCAGGAACTGAACTCACTACCTTGCACTTGCCAGGCAGGCGCTTTGCCGCTGAGCTAAATCCCCAGCCCCTACATATTACTATTAATTTCCCTCAAAATACTCCTTCTTACCTGGAACAGACTTATACCATCATACTTGCCACTTCCTGAAGCTCCATGAGTGTCTCTATCAGGTGTGACAATGAAATCCAATGAATAGTATGATTGAGTGCCATTCAACAGAGAGACAGGCTCCTAAAAACATTAGTGTCCACATTCACCTTATCTGCCAGATCTGGCACTGTGCAACTTTTAGTTCTTCTCCAGTGTCAAAATGATCGTAAAAGGTAAATGTATTGAATTGACTCAGGACATAAAGGCAGCCCGGGCAGCACAACTAAAGATACTTATGAAAGTGGACTCTGAGTATTGCTCTAGAAACTGTCAAGAATGATGGGATGACTGCATTCAAAGTGAGATGGAGTACTTGATGGGAACTAATGGCAACGTGTCTATTATTGTAATAATTTGTTAATTTAAGCATTCACCATTTATTTCTATCATACCTTGTATATTCACTGATTCACTTTTGAGGCTTTTTCAAAGAAAAAAAAAGAAAACAAAATTTCAAAACAACAGGAGAGTAACAATAACACATTGAGTATTGTTACCTTCGAAGTAGTTACTCAGAGTAAAACATATAGGCATAAAAAGTTGTCCAAACAATATTAGCACACACTTTCTCTTCAATGAACTAA